GGGCACGAACTTTTTTTATGATAGATATAATTCATCAAGGTCTGCAAGATATGCAAAGTCTCGACCCAAAAGTGAATGAGCACCTGGAAACGTTTCCTTGTTAGTTACAAGCAGAAAACTAAAATGGTGAATGCATACTTCGCAGAATGACTTTCAAACATGTCTAATATGACTGTTTTCAGTGGTAGCCTAAAGCAATATTGCGACTAACACATTTTATTTTAGTGTGTGGTTTATCTATATTAAAATCTTTCGAAAATACTTACTGAAAAATTTAAGCATACAATTCTTGAAAAGCCATTTGCACCAGCCACCTTTCTTCACTTTTCGATCACCTAGAAAAAAAGCAAAGCGTCTTGATTACATTACAATCCGTTGTACTTATTCAACCATAAAAGCAAACTCAGTATTTTATTTACAATTCGAGTAATATACATAGCCAAGAAGTAACTTTTTCTTCGTAGATACGAGTAAATTCCCAGACAGACAAAAAAAACACGGATTGAAATCCTATACTATTTTCTAGCGTTTTCAGATACTAATCAAGGTTCGCGAATCTCATCCAAAATAATTCGAAAAACCACAATGTCGAACCGTGTACTTCTTACAAAGCGCAAAAATTTTTGACACTTCATATATATAAGAAATTCTTTGCAATTTTGGCATCTACTTATTGTAAATGTTTCTTACATTAAATCGAGAACCACGAGTAGAATCTAACAATTAACGGTAGCACTTTTACTTTGTTTTTACTTTCTGAAAGGAAAGAAAAGAAAAGTGAAGTTGAAAAACTTTCTTTTTTCTTTTCGTTTTCGAAAAGAGAGAAGTAGATCTTCTATGCTCCTTTACCGAGAAAATAGTCAAATAAGTCAAAAAAAACAGAAAGTCGAAAGAAACTAAAGGAAAGTAGAAGAAAGTCAACAGAAAGGACAAGAGAGTTGATTTATTCCTTTATTTATTTTGACAAAAAATGATATATTCGAAATCAGTATTAAATTCTGTATCTAATGAACTGTCATTCCATAGAACAAAAAAAAATTGCTTTTATCGGATGATCCCAACATTCCCTACAGGTTGCACACTAACAAATAAAAAAAGTTACTTTCGACAAACGAAGACTATCTAGTTCCACTCGAAATTTAATCTTAATTCCAAATATACCATTTTTTTCAAAAACAAAACAAATATATCAACTTTCTTCTCTTGTGTTTCGACTTTCTTTTTTTTTGACTTCTTCAAATTCTTTTTTCTCATTAGAACAGCATACAACATCTAGTTCACTCTTTTCGAAAAAGAAAATAAAAAAAAATTTTCAACTTTACTTTTCTTTAGGAAAGAACGTGAAAGTGCCACTCCTATTAAAAACATTCAAATTTTTATGTGTCTACACGTCTATTTTCTGTGCACGTTTCTAACTTATAATTGAACGTCACGATTACTATCCTGAAATGCTCATGTTTCTTATGTGTTTGCACGTGTGACTTTTCTTTTCTCTCTATTTTCATATGTTTTTTAAAGGCTTTTTCCATGAATTTTTTTTGTCTGTGTAAGAAATTTTTATTACAATAGTAGATACAGAGGTTTCTTGGTTATTTATATATCAATCTGTGTGCCGAGATCAAATTCCTTTCGATCATATCTAAAGAATATTTTTACGTCATTTTCCACAAAAAATTCAAGGAAAATGACTTTTGATAATAAGTGGAAGTGAATATATTTATATATCTAACTACCTAGCTACAAATCGAATAATAGTTTTAAAAATAAAAATGTTGAAACGAAAAAAAGACACATTCTTCAAAGAGGAAATAGCTAAAATAAAATTTTCTTGATATAAAAATTGATTAAAAATCCGAAAAATCAGCTGTTTCATTCTGGTAAAAATGGTATCAAATTTGAACTTTTGCGATTAACACGCACGTCAGACAAAATGCGCCTGAAAAAGTTTAGCAAACAAACAAACTTTTTGAACATTTGCACATTCAAATATATATGAAGAAAAATACTGTCCGAATTCGTATTGAAAACTTGGATATCCTGTTGTTTATACAACCATTTTGTTTATAACGTGCTCAAACACTGGAAAAAGAACGATTTTTAGTGATCAAACAGTTTTTCATTTTTTTTAAAACGAGTTTGCTCAGACACAGTTGAATTTTAAAATACTTTTAAGAATATGTTAGAAATAGAACATGCACTATTTTGACGCGAATAAAAAAGAACAAGACATCTCAATCTATCGATTTCATTACGGAATTCTAGTTAAATTTTAAAACATTTTTGATGAACATTTCAAATGAAAAATAAACTGTTAGAATGGAAACGGACAAACAAAATTTTCAATTCATCTATCCAACCAGTCATTCGATAAGCATTTCGATGTGTCGATTTTATATTTCGAAGGACATCGAAATCTTATATAGAAGACTTAGAGTGGCACTTTCTGATTGATCGATGGTTCAACGATGAGTTCTATCTGTCCATATCTTTCGACTATTCGAATGATTATTTTTGAGAGAATCAATTTACCTTCACTTATATCAGGATCAATAATTACACGATATTTTGGTTCTTCTGCATCATCGAATTTCCACAGAGCGTTCGCCTTGAAACCGACAATGATACAACCTTTCGCAGCGTTGACTAAACCTAGAGAAGCACTGGCAGGAAGACCAAGTTCAATTTTTAGCTCATAAAGCATTTGTCCAAAACGAATATCTCTGTTCAAAAGTACTCGTCGTTCTACATTGTGATATTCGAATGCAACCATTTTTTATTCAGTATCTTCTGTCTCTAAATATGTAGAAAGGAGAATCAATTAGAAAGAAATATCGAGAAATAAACAAAGTATCAAAAGATAAAAATGACATAGTTCCTACTGCGCACGCATTAGTCATAAAAATTATCAAAAACTCAAGCATTTTAATGGTGCTTCAATGTAATAAGAGCAGGTTGATTCAGGAAGGATATTTTCAAGAGAGAATAGGAGAATGTATTTGAAATTCACCGAATTATAAAGAAAGATGAACACATGATGCTACCAATGAAGTCGCACAAAATGTCGGTTAACTCCGATGTGAAAAGGCGAAAAATAGAAATAGGAGCGCAAGAATATGGGGCATATCTACATGAAGGACATTTGATAAGGAGTGGGAGCGGAGAGTCTGACGTGGTCTAACGTCCGAAAAAGCAGCTTTAGAATTTTTACTCTATTGCCTTATAATTCTGACTGAACATGTCTTCTTTGTGACTGGAAACTTATCGAAGTGCACTTCCTTTATTTAATCGGACAACTTGGTAGATTGTTGCTACCGTTGTTTAATGATTGGATATTAATTTTGTTTATTTCAGTGCTATCATCATATTTTTTTGCGGCAAGAACAAATATCTTATTCAACGCAGTCCATTTGATTAATTCAAAATTATGAAGGGATGTTTAGCTAGCAAAATTTCTTGAAGAATGAAAATTGTCACAATCTGTACCATAAACTATAATGTTATCCTTTATTTTTTCGTCTTTTTCTCTTTCTCTGCTATGGAGAGAAATGTTTTTCTATCATTACCAATTATTTAATAGTAATTTTAACTGAAGTTTCTTACGAAATATTGAAACCAATGATTAAATCGAATTTCGTCATTGCATTTTTTACTCATAATGGAAGGGTGTGTATTGTATGTTAGAGAAATTGAAAATATTGGGGTCAAAATAAAGCTAATCGATGTTCATCTATAGAAGAATTATCAAAACTCTTTTGAAATTAGAATTCAGCAAAGTTTGAAATGCAAGATAGAATCAAGTAAAAATAACTTTCAATGATAGCTCAAATCGATAAGACATATTCTCCAAAGATTGGTTTGTTTATTTTCACATCCAAGTCTCTTCGAATTACCTTTATTTCGTACAAGATTACTATTTGTGTTTCCTTGTACAATATTTGTTTGTTCATAAAATTCTTGATAATTATTAATATCACTAGCCAGAACCCGTGCATACTGCAGGGCAGTGCTTTTTTCTTTAACGTGCGATCTCAAAACATTAACCTTTCACTCGGTAACAGACACAAACACTTAACATTATGTACATAGAAGTCCTACGACGTGATATCTTTATACCACCAATAGCCCATGTCGCCTTACGGCCTTATAGGCTTATCTCTTTATTGTCTTAGCTCGTTATAGCCTTAATCCCTTACAGCTTTACTCCCTTATTGCCTTACTCTTTATAACCTGACCCCTTTATAGCCTTCTCTCCCTGTAGCCTCATTCCTTATGACCTGACCGCCTTGTTGCCTTACTCCCCTATAACCTTACCCCTTATAGCGTTTTCCCTTTATAGTCTTACCTCTTACAGGCTTATCCTTTATAGCCCTACCTCCTTATAGTCCTATCTCTTTCACCTTGCCCCCTTATAGCCTTACCCACTTGACAGGCTTACACTTTTATAGCCTGACCCCTTGTTGCCTTATCCCCCTTATTGCCTTACTGCCCGATAACCTTATCCCCATATACAGATGATAAATTTTATCATCTGTCTTCTCTTTTAATTTTTCATTAATTCTCTTTACAGGTTCAAGAACAGTTTGGTCATCATGTTGTTTATCAGTATCAATTTCCATTGCAGATATTATATCAATACCTTGTGAACCTTGTTCATCAGATTTTGGATCAATATCATTACCATCGTACTCAACATTTTGTTGATGATATGTCTTGGATCGCTTATTACCAGCTGATATTACCAAGCATTTTCTTGCTAACCATGACGAATAAAATATTGAACCTGATGATGTTGATGAACATTGACGATGTCTTGATGATATAGTATCATAACCACGACCATAACCTTCCAAAAAGACAGCAGAACATTCGAAGTTATTATAATTATCAGCACTCATTATCTGAAGAAAACGAAAAATTTAAATAAACAAAATTCAACACGAATATTTTTTATTCGATATCTCAAAACAAAATAATAACTAACTATTTCTTCTTCATATTTTATGTCTCACTCGTATAAAGTTCAAAAATATGTGCATGAAAATTAAACAAATAAAAAATCATTTTGTTTTTTGAATATGTATTAATCCAATATCATTAGAATTCAAAAAAAGAAAAAAAAGAAAAAGAAAAAGAAATTCTTGACAATTATATTACAGAATAAGAAAAAGAAAAAGTACATCAAGAAAAAAAAATTGAACAAGATGTAATTATATCAATTATGTATATATATATATATACAGGAATATAAGAAGAAAAATGAATGCCAAAATGTACACACATCAAGTTTTTATTCTAAAACATAGTAACTAGCAGCGTTAAAAATTGTAAAGTATTTATATAGACAAATCTATCTAATATTTGTTCTCGAAAGATCATTCGATATGATAAACCTGAGAAAAATTAGTGCATCAAAGAAACTGTTGATAGAACATATATATATAATAAAATATAAATAAAATATGAATAAATGTATCATGATAGTTCAATAAATTTCTTTTGATTTTAAGTTCTTCATTTAAACATGATTGAAATTGTGTATCAATAAAATTTCCAATAATTTTAAATGAATTATCGTTATTTATTTGATCATCAAAACTAGCTCTTTCAACAACAGTTAATTTTAAACAAATTTCACATTCCAAATAAATCATAAGTATTTCCATGTAAAAATACAAACATGGCACATCAAGTGTTGATGATGTGATTCTAATCTTGTATTAAATAAAATATCAAATAATGAAGAATTGCTACATGTTGTTTCATCAACACGAAGTATATTAAAAACAAAACTATCTGATATAGCTTTATCCATTATTTGATTTGGTAAATTATTAATGTTTCATTCTTCATTTAGTTCACATGAATGAATTGATGGAGTCTACATAAAAAAAAGACAATTAAATAAAATTATAAATGAGAATGATTGAATTTTATATATTTTCAGATTTTAACATGAAAGACTTCGAAGGAGAAAATACGTCTTTTATTATTTTCCTTTTAAATAAATATTAAACTTTTCACAAAGACTTTTTTCGTACTACAAGTAGAAGAAAGAACCAGTGAGAAGAAAGAATATTTCAGTTCTTTGTATTTATTATTATAATTACTATTCGATACTATACGACATCTAGAGTTTAGTAAATGTATAAATTGGCATGACTAGCAATTGATCATGTAAAATTTTACTTCTTTTTTTATTGCAATAAAACACATAATGATAGCTTAAGAAAAACATCTTTTCTAAAAAATACTCCATGATCAAATTTGAAATAATAGATTTTCTATTCTTTGGATTATTTTTGATAAAAACAATTAATTTCAAATCGATTATCACACAAAAAAAAATATATATGCGTAACATAATAATTAAGGAATGAAAAACAAAAACATTGTTTTTAGTTTTATCATAGATTACTGTTGATGAGACCTGTAAATTTTCAAGCTATTGGTGTAACTAGAGAAAAACTAGAGATCTCAGCCTCCTAGTCATGCCTTTAGGTGGAATAAAAACCTTCTGAAAGCATTTCTAGAGAAGACTCAAGCGCCGTTCTAAGCAAAACTTAGCTACTGGTGTTGGGAGATGAGGAAGTTCTCTGTAGTTTTAGTTGTATCCTCTCGGAACAACTTTTCTCAATTTTTATTTCCCTTATCCCTAATGCTTTGAGAAATTCTATTAAGATTTCATTTTTCATGTTTAAGAAAAACTATCATTATCAGACACTAACTTTCGTCATACCCATGGTGTAAATTTCTGCGAAAAAAACGCGTTCTGAAAACGCATTTTTCCATAGCTGCAAAACGCGTTAATGCTGACCGGTTTGACGCGTTTCACATCTGCTAAAACAAACGATGTGTAGCGATTGTTTTTGTGAAAGATTTTGCAGCGTTTCTCAAATTGTGGCATCATATATTCTAGATGGAAGGTGTGGGTGGGTGGGTGTGGGTGTGAGTGAGTGTTGGTGTGGGTGTCGGTGTGGGTGTGTGGATGTGGGTGTGGGTGTGGGTGGGTAGGGGTCTTCTCTTGATGTACACCCACACCAACACCCACACCCACGTCCATACCCACACCCACACTCACACACCCACACCCCACACACCCACTCCACACCCACACAGACATCGACACTCTCACCCACCCACAGTCGCACCCACACACCCCACAGCAAACCGTATTCGCATCCACACCCACACCCCACACCGAGACCCTCCAGTGTTACTATGCTTTGATCAATTAATGAAAATGAAGAGTTACAATTTGTCAGTTGATTTGACATTCCTACAAAAGGTAGACCAATCTGTTTCTGTTTTATTTTACTTCTCATCACCAGAAAAAAGAACAAATTAATTTGGTACCTGTTAACATTATCCTACTCGATGTTGATTGTCTTTCATCATTTTATCGAGAATATAATTTCCAATAATAAGATATCGTTTAACTTTCATTGTTATTATATAGCTTTAATATATTCTCAAGTTTTCGTATAATGTTTATGTAAATACGAGTCAAAACCCATAGTCTGGAAGTTTGGATCCAATTGCTCGATACCTACGCAAAAGATCACATTCACACGCCCATCCACACTTATTCTCACAAGCATTTCTGCGTCGTCGAATTTTTAAGTGGACTTCATATTTTTTTTTGACATCACTATAAGTGACTTTAACCACTTGAAATGTTATTGTTGCTTGTAAAAGGACTTCTTCTTCGTCGGGAAAAGCTGAAATTGATGATATATCGACGCCTTCGCGGGCTGTTTCATTGTCAATAATAAATAAAGTATTCCCGAATTGTTCAGCTTTCGATCGATTTTTGCTTGTAGAGGAGAAACATAACCATGAATACCATTGATTATCACCAGCTACATTCATGTAACTTTGCATTTGTGATTGGTCCAAGGTCATACCACGGTAAACTAAACCAGAAAAGTTTTTTTCTTCAAAACCAAATGGTAGTAAGGTGCTCCATATCAGATAACAGAATGGACCTAGTGTATCTATTGCCGTTTTTTCTTTATTTCGTAGTGCGGCGTTGAGTCTTTTGTAGAGAAATGATTCAAACGTGTAAAGTTTAAGAGACATTTTCTGAATTTCTGGTTTTGATTGACTCTTCACACTTCTCAACTTCTCTGCTAACCAGCGAGCTTCAGCAACACAATCAAGCTTTTCGTCTTCCGCTATTATACCTTGTGCCGCTTCTTCAACAATTTCTTCGCCTGAAGGCCCGTACCATGAGTCCCTACCTTGCCATCCTTGCATCCGAAACCAGTCATAAATAAAAGCGTTAACATGCTGCTTTTGCGCGAACGCTGTGTTTATCAATGGTTCAACGACAAGAAACCTTTCACGGACATTGTGTTTCCCTTCTGTAATTTTAACGCGCTTTATTGGTGTTTGTTGTTTCTTATCAAATTTATTCACTTGTAGTATGCTTTTGAAATCAATAATAGAATGGTCTAATTCGACCATTTCTTGTTTCAAGATAAAAGCATCTTCAAGTATTTCAATCTCAACGTCTGAGTATTTTTTCCATTCTTTAGACTGATTTCTTCAAAGCCAAGCATATCTGGTTGCACTAGCTATCAATGTTCTTGTCGTTGTTGTTGTTTCGTGTTCTTCATCACCTGTCTTATATGTGGAATATACGGTTACTTTCATCGGCAGTTGCATCGGTTGACCAGCAATGTTTTTTAATAGTTGTAATTTATGCCTGAGTATTTCTGATAAATATTCAACACAGACAACAGGAAGATCGTTGGCTGCTATTGCCGTTCTTCTTGATTCTGGCGACGGTACAACAAAGAAAAGCATTTGATTTAAGGTACATTTTTCAATATGACCCTTAAAACCACTTCGTTGTACCCCGTTTTCGAGTTGTTCAACTCGGCTATCGCATATTGGACAAGGATAGCAAGTTGCTACTTGAAAATAAATGTTGTTATCATGCAGCGCTATCAAACGTGGTGAATGCCATCCATGAACTCGAACCGTGTAAGAATTTCCACTTAAAAGACTGGGTGTAGCCATGCATAAAGAAACGAGTAGGATATATCTATAGCAATGTAAAGGAAGATATTAGATAAACCAAATCATAGAGAAGGTTATCTTCAAAGAAAGTCATCATCTGAATCATTTGTAAATACCATCATCAAGCAAACTCTGGTACTAACGTTCAAGATAGAAATTATCTCTAGCAATTCGGAGTGCCACTTTATCTTTACTTTAACGAGTAGAGTAAAGCTGGGTTACTTTACTTTGCCAGTAAAGTAAAGTAAAATGAAGTATCTCTTACTTTACAGAAAAAGTTAGGTGGAGTAATATCAGATAAACTAAAGCATGTAGTTGATGATTATTGGTTTATTCGTTCATTATCACATATTAAGCACATTCTAATACGTCAAAAGTTGCGTCGAAATACGGACAGAGAGCCCCGAATAATGTGAACCTATTTGTAATATCTTGAGAATCAGCATTGAGCCCTCACTATTATTCAAAATTTTATTTTCTACTTTACCACGACCCAATTTTTCACACTTGGGGTTTCCTTCAGGTGTCGAAAAAAAACATTTTTATCGCTGTCCTATTACAAATCTTTATAATTCAATAGTATCAAGTGAGCTGATTACAAATATTTCATTTGTTGTCAAAAGTGCTTAGGTAATAAGAAATATAGAAAGGATCTCCTGAAAGCCTTAAAACTAGCTTTTGACCAGAAACTTCATTAAAATATGGCTATATTTCGGCGACAACAGATTCATTTGACACAGAATTCTTTTCTCTACCAACAACTATGAAAACGTGTTGAATATTCAATTCATTCTATTGATAATTGGCAAATACCGCCCCGATTAGGTCTGATTATCTCTCATAATATTTTGTCAGCCTTACCAAAACAGAGTTTCTACAGGTGCTGTGGTCAGATTTCTTTACCAAGAGTGCAACTAAATGTGCTCTTTTTAGTGATAATGTTTTCCACGTGAAAATTCATATCTAGTAAATTACTTTTGCTCACAATCCTATTCTTGAGACCTTGTTTGCCCCCTTTTTGACTAATATTTTATGGTTTTCGAATAGAAAAATCCCATTTGACTCCACAAAAGTGTCATATCTGAACTTAAGACAGAAAACTGAGTAGGCCTATGCGGACAGAGATGCCCACTGGATTGTGTTGATATGAGTACCTTTTGGATTAGGGCTTCCATTGGTTAGTCCTAATCCAGGCCGGTGGCTTGATGAGACCATTTACAATGGCGGGCAAAAGTAGCCTCCTCCCCCTCAAAGTGATATTATATTCCATCATTTCGAACTGATCTTTTGCGGGAATGTCGGCGTCATTGAACCATGATCGCAAACACCACCACGCCTTCAATTGATTGACGTTTGCTGAAGATATCACTTCTACATCGTCATCACCTTATCAAGATGATATCTCGATCATTTTTCGACATTCACTTTCTCGCAACCCGTCATTCGAAAGCTCAGAGATGCAGCTATCAAAACTAAAATTTAGGTGAGAAATAGCGGAGATCCGAAGTTCGCACTGAAAACTTTTACCAACTACAAGATCTTTGTTTTCAGTTTCAAATTGATAACTTGAGCTAGAATTGATCAATGCAACTGAAAATTTCAGCAATGACTTACCATCGACCAACAAGTTTGTGGTAAAATATTCAGAGCCGTAGCTCTAAGCAGAGCTGAGATAGAGCTATTGAAAGAGTTTAGCATGCCACAGCTTGTCTATCAATGAAGCTACGGTATTATGCGGTGAGCTTTGGACCCAAGCAACTAGGTATGCAGGGGGACAACTAGCACCAAACAAACTCAAAAGTTCATTTTAGGAGGACGAAACTGTGAACTAAAAGTTTTAAGAAGGTATTTCTCTTCAATTTCTTCAATCTCTCCCCTGGTAGCGTATCTATGCACGATATACTTCTCTGTTACGAAGTATTTCACCTCAAAACAATTTTGCTGACTTTAGAGAGTTTCTGCTTCATGGAACCAGCATTTTGTACATACCCTCTGAATTATTCTGACGAAAAAAGAATGTTTTCGGAAAGATGAGCGTAAATTCACTAGTATTTGGCAGTTTTACTCGCTTTAAACGCAGTGTCAATCGTTTATTGAAGACATGGAGGGAAAATATAATCTCAGAAACTTTTAATTCGCAGTGTTTCGTCATTCTAAAATGAATTTTTGCTTTTTTGGTGCTAGTTATCGCCTTGCGTATATAGCTGCTTGGGTTCAAAGGTCGCCACACAATACAGTGGCCCGATTTATAGGCAAAGTGTGGTGTGGTGAATTCTTCCAATGACGATATCTCAGCTCTACATAGATCTGCGACTCTGAATATTTTACCACAAATCTGCGGATTGGTGATGAGTCATTGCTACAATGTTCCGCTGCATTGATAGATTTTAGCTCAAATTATCGATTCCAAACTGAAAAAAAGGATTTTCTACTTGGTAGACGTTTTCAGTGAGAACTTCGGATCTCCGCTATTTCACACCCAAAATTTTACTAATGATATCTGCATCTCTGAGGCTTCGAATGACGGGTTGTGCGAAAGTGAATGTCGAAAAATGATCGAAATGTGACCTTCGTAAGGCGATCACGATGTACAAGTGATATCTTCAGCAAACGTCAACCAATTGAGGGCGTGATGGTGTTTGCGATCAGGGTTCAATGAGGCCGGCATTCCCACAAGAGATCCATTCGAAATGATGGAATATAATAGCACTTTAGGGGGGCACCTACTTTTGTCCACAGCTCTATATAATTCCATCTCCGACCTACCTATAAAAAGTTTCAGGTAAATTTGGTTGGTTAGCCAAATAGTCAACCTTGTGCTGATGCATTAAATAATGCATATTTCATAAAAATTAGTTACGAAAATGTT